TTTTCCCTACGGTGGTGAATTGAAAGAGGTGCAAGTACCCAACAGGGGGGTTTCTGGCCAGAGAAGGGTGACGGGGGTGAAATCATTGGGTAGAGGAGGTGAGGGGGTTTGGGGACGAAATAATCGTTGATCGCTTCGAGCAGCTGGTTTGCTTTAGGTGGTTTTCCGTGCCGATTGTATCACATGGTTTTCCCATGGTTTTCCCTGAAGATTGTTATGAAGAGAGCCCGATGTGTTTGCGGTCCGAAGCAGGGGTAATCTCCCCAGACCGCGCGCCCGGCTCCATCATTAAGATAAGATCGAGAACAGAACTTTCAGAACGCCCTTCTTTTTTCGTTCCGGGAATCTCAAAGGCGAGGGTGGTGAAATCGCTGACGTTTCGCAAGCGTGAACCACAACGACCCATGCCAAAGCAAAGTACGATACCAGAGCATGACGTGGCAACAAAAACAGCAGCCACAACAAATGAAGCAGGCCTAACAACAATGCGAACAGGCCTCACACACCTGCGGATCCCGGGGGGAAATTACCCCCCCGTAACCAGTGGGGACAAACATGGAGTCCTTCGGAAGCTTCTGGCGGCGCAGAAGGTTCGGGAAGTTATGCCGGCCCTCCGCGGCCACCTGAGGGTTGTTTGTGTAGCGTGGCGTGGTGTTGTTGCTAGTCGCTTGAGCTTTGGGCTTACTTTCGGAAACAAAGAACTCGTCAATTTCAAAACATGGTGGCTGCTCTAGAAGTGATTTAAGCTTTTCTCGAGAAGGTTCTAAATATGACTAACCCTGGTTTGATGCCTGAGACACGTTCACGGTGATGTCGGTGCCCACAAGAAGCAAATAACGGCCACAGAAGCGCTGAGTACGTATGCAAAGGCTTTGTTGTCGGCATGTTGCATGTAGCAGGTGCTTTTCGTCGCGACAAACTCTACACAAGACACAACAACAACAACAAAGCAACAACCAGAAAACAACAGTTTCGCCAACCTCCTTAATTTCGATGGTGTCGTTGAGGAGGTAGTAGTACAGGATGTAGTCACGCTTGTCTCCCTGCAGGCGGCAGTCCTTGTACTTGCAGAAGAATCGCAGAACTTTCCGATCCTTCTTGTAGAACTCCCCCTTCTCGCGGGCCGGCATCATGGACCTTTTCCGACGTGCAACCGGAACCAAATGTTCAATGAAACAACACTTCTTTCGGTTTTTCGAAAATGAAAAGGTCCACGGTCTTACCCAAGGACACAAGGAAACAAGTCGGGTCTCATCGCTAGAGAAAGTGATACTTCTGGTCCGGCAGATTCGGGTTCGGAAGCAGAGACCAACGGGGATAGCTCAACAACAATTCGACCAATCCTGAGTAGGTCATTTGTTCGGGCTGGAAAGGTCGAAGAGTTTGTTTGTCCGCACCAAGATCCAGTGCATTTAGATTGACCGGCGATAATGCGGCAGGAAAATGTAGTTATCCGACGACCCCAGTGATTCTCTGTGGAAACCAACCTATAGCACAACTATTCTGGCTCCACCCTTGGAAAATGCTGCCTACCCTGTGAGTTGTAGTTGATACAACATGCCACAAAAAGTTCTTGGCGAGTGGCCCCACGACAACACTGCGCATCTCGTTTTCACTCTCCAAACACCATGCTTACCCACACGAATAATGATTGCGTGCACATCCATTGTCCTGCTCAGACGCGTCTGAAGCGGGCCAACTTGTTGGGGAACTTCGCCGGTGGGCAGTGTGCGATTTTTGCCAGCTACGTAAGAATAGCCAGATCCCACGATCTCACAGGTGTTGTGAAACGATGTTGGTGATGTGTGTCGGTGCTGTGTTCTTCTGACTACAGTACCATTTGTAGTACTATTCGTATTCAAGCTTTTCCCGGCCCGGCCTATTCTCCCCCTCCACTAGTCCAACGTAAGTCTAGCATCTGGCCAAACCTCCGATCAAACCTACTCTATCCCCCCCCCCCCCCCCCCGGGGTTTGCCATCGGCGTTGGGTTTTCCTCCCTTGGCAACCACCTTGTAAAAAAAGCCGCCCCCCCCGGTGTTTGCCATCGGGGTTTGGGTTTTCCTCGCTTGGCAACCACCTTGTAAAACAAGCCCCCCACTCGGTGTTTGCCATCGGGAATGGGTTTTCGTCGCTTGGCAACGACGTTGTAAAACAAGCCAATTCTCTTCGTGAACTCGGCAACCAGGTTACCGTTTTTTTTTTACCTCGTTTTTTTTTTTTGGCGGTAACCATAATGGTGGTCGAGTAGATCATGTTGTGCGGGGTCGAGAACCCTCACTCCGCGCAACGGGGGATGATCGCACCACGTTGTGTTAAAATGGTCAAGCTTCCTCGAGGCAGTTACACAGTGCTTACAACTGTCTCTGGAAGTGAAAGCACCAGAAAATAAATTAAGTCATACGTAGCTGTCATCCGTACGCAAGGAAGTAAGCACAAGATGCCGAACACCCTTAGCAGGATGCAGCTCACCCTTCATGCGACTCGCCAAATACCTCACGGCGCTTCGCGCTTGGTGATGTGAGAGCCTGGTCCGGTGAGAACCCGGCGTGCTCCGTCCCGGCTTTGTAGGGATGCGAGGTCAATGGTCAAACGACTACGGCATGCACGACTATGAGTACACCCCCCCCCCCCACTCTCTAATCTAGCGTGGGGCGCCCCCCTCACCTCTTCTTGGGGGCGGACACCTTGGCACGCTCCGCCCCATAGCCGTCCTCCGGGTAGTTCTCCGTCGGCTTCAGGCTACGGCCGAGGTTCCGCTGGAACCACTGCCGGGTGGTGAGATCCGCGTCCACGATCCGGAACCTGCGGCCGTGGATCCAGACCTCCTCTCCGACGCCGAAGTCTCCGGGGGCGTAGATGTCTCGGGGGGGGGGCGTGGTGGCGCCGCCCTTACCGCTACAGCCGCCTGTTGGTCGATGCCGGTAAAGGTTGAGTGGGATAGCGCTCTGTGAGCATGGGCCGATTTTTTGTTCATGTGCCGGAGTAACTGTTGGTGCGGAATTTGGGATACAGTAGTTGGAGAGCTGAGCCGTACTCAGTGGGCAGAATGAGGGGTTTGGTATACGTAGTCCACACGTTCATTTTTGGTATTCTTTCTTGGAAGGAGACGAGGAGAACGTAGGTCAGACGTAAGAAAGAAAAGAGTCGCCGGTCAGACACCTCGGGTTCAAAGAAAACAAATATTCAGGTCTTGTTAGCGGAAGTTTGGAACAAAGATCACACAGTCTGGTCAGAGAAAAACGGATCTCCATTCTCTTCCCCGCTCCATCTCCAAGAGAATGCGAGGTCTACAACCTAATGTACAGTGCAACCAACATATGACCTCCCTCCCTCCGCTCACCCATCACGCCCCCTTCGTCGCCGCCACCGCCGGTCGCCCGCACAGGAGTGGCGCTGCCGCCGGCACTGCGGGCGTCCCGGGCGCAAGAGTTGAGCGGCCGCGTAACCTGCAAGCGCCTCATGAACTTTCCCTGCGTAAGGCCGCTGTTGGTGATTCGCGGCTCCTCGATGGAGATGGTACTGTCCGACAAGAAGTACCTAGAAAAACGGCATTGGTCATCAATATTGAGGCCACGATAGGCGGGACGGGAGGGTAAAGTGCGGAATGTGATGGCTCGAGGGGCCGGGGGGCGAGGGAGACATATTATGTGGTTGACGGAGAGCACGGCTAGCATCAATTTGTGTAGAATACTCTGTGCCCAAGATTAGAACGGGTGCAACAGCAGCTACATTGTGAATTTTCACCTTTGTGGGATGGTACTACAGGCGATCTATCCTTTGTTGGGCCACAAATTCACTTTCTTGATACATAAAGTTGGACAACGACCATTCCCTCCTCGTTTCTAGACTTCATGCCGTACAGTCCTCACGGAGGATTTCGCACCTACCAATACTCCCCTGTATGCCTCTCTCTCCACTTGTCTCCCTCCTTCCCTCCCTCCCTCTCTCCCTCCCTCCCTCCATCCCCTGCTCTGTTATCTCTTCATTCGCTCTCACATTATGCTGAACTTCCTCACACGGAAACCTGTGGCGTCCATGCTCCCGCCTTCGTGAACGGGCTCCTGGAAGTAGGCGAAGAAGCGGAGTACCTGCTTCTCCTTGGTGATGTAGTCTGGGATACAGCTACCCTCCCGCGTGCGGGCAGGCACGCTCGAACCCGCTGTGCCCGGTCGGGTGCCTTCTCCATACCCGCGCAGGATGGGTTGAGACTTGGACGATCTAATCATCCCCGAGGATCCCGGACGGGCACCCTGCAACATCTGCGGAGCAGCCATGCCAAGAAGAGCACCGGAAGTGTGCGTATTTTCGTGATTCGGTTTCCCACGGAAAGAAAAAATCTACTCTGCCAACCATGCCATTGACACCGCCAGCAGCCCAGCAGAGCAACGTCAAGCCTGCCTTCGGAGGAAAGATAGGCCATGCACGCTCCATCATGTGGACGTGCTCGCGTCTTTGGCACCATTGGGCGACCCCATTTCGCTCAACAACATCTGACGCGTAAGCGACCATCTCTCGAACAATGGATGATGGGTCTTAACTCCAAGAAACCCGTACAATCAACCGGCAGCGCGTGAAGCACAACCAAAGCGTAGAGTAGAATGCGCACTCGATTTGTAGAAATCGAGCCTTGACCGGCCGCATTGTCTCGTTCGCAAGTTTTCTCCTCTGGTTTGTCGGCGAGCGTACATGTAGACTGGACAAAGAACAGCAGCAGTGAATGCTACCAACGTAGCAATTATTGAAGAGTGCATATCGAACCCGTCCGTACCTTCACGTATGGCCCGTGGCCACGTCGTATGCCCGGAACCATGGGGAAGTCACTGGTCGGCGATGCTAGGGGAAGGGCTGGCATGCTCGTCGCCCATCTTGTAGACATGTTCGGAGAGGATGGCTGGGATGGTCGACCCCGAGAACCCCTTTTTCGTACCAAAACTTCGAACCCCGGTGCGCTGCTAGGCGTACCTGGCGTGCTTGGCAACGCTTGCTTGGCAGCGCGCGCCCCAGGCGCAAAAGGAGATGATCAGAGAGAGAATGAGTCTACACCTCTTCCTGCTGTGTAGTAAATGAGATGGCTTGTACACTCTCGTGTTGTCGGATTGACGTTATAAGTGTCTCGTCGCTCTTGTGCGGCGCAATAATGATTCCCCGAATCGGCACCCGAACCCATTCTCTCGGACGTTACTTCCTTTTTGTGGCCCCGCCGCCCCGCCCCATTGTACACAACCTTTACGTTTCTATTATTTCGGCTTGAACAGCATGATTGAGTGTCGCCAAAGTTTCTCTGACTGGTGTATCAAAGTGTTGTTGCCGTTCCCGAACAGTTTTGTTTTTGTCGTGTAGGTCGGTGTTCTTGTCGATGCGCTACACTGCTGTACACACACGATATTTCGTTGGCAGGGCAGGTAGGTGTGTGTATACAACAGCGTGGAGCCCGCAAATAAGAATTCTGCTACCGGAGACTATTACTATTCGTTCAGGACCGTACTGCTGTAGTTGGGGGTGGCGCACCTCTCTCTGCGGACGGCGACCCCGTCGGGGTGACCAGGAGACGGAGTAAAACAGAGTGTGCATCAAATTACATACATACATAGACAGAGCAATGGATGAGCCTAGAGCTGCTCCATGGTCCCTGTGCAATGGTACAGCAGTGTCAGGGTGTCCCGTTGATATGTACGGTTGGGAGTCGTGTCGTCTACAATGCCTGCCGTTGTTGCTGTTTGTTGCATGAGACGGAAGATCATGATATATATTCACAACAAATAGTTGTCGGTATATGAAGCAGATGTAGGTTAGGAAACATGATACAGATATGGCGTGTAGGGATGCCCACTCGAGGCAACCCTCAAGGGGATGGGTGTAAGTATTTACGGTGAATGAACACCTGGTCGAAATTGATTTACGATACTCTCCTTTTCAACCTGCACATGTTCCAAAAGGCTTGTTTCAGGGACAGGAGGTGTAAAAGTTTAACTGACTCTTTTCCTACCCTCTCATGTCACGACACGCAGCCAAGCTGCATAACCAAGGAGAGCTACAATACCGACCCTAGTCTTGTTGAGTCATGGATGGCCACCACTCGCTTTCGTTCGTCCTGCTTATAGGCAGAGATTCGTTCCACAATGTGTTTCGAAATTCGCTATTGTTGTGTAAGGCCGAGTTGTTTCTGGAGTACTTCACAATACACAAAAAACGCGAAAGGGCTATGCATACTACGCCGAGAAGACGATCTCCTCCGCACGGACGGCCAAACGGCGTTCGGCCGTACTCCCAGCGAACAAGCGAAGCACGAACAGACACAACAACGGATCAAGGGCCTCAAAACCATACATGGCACAATGCGGTCCTAAGGCTCAGGTGAAAACAGCACTGGAGTGCGGCCGGAGTTGCACGACCTGCTGCCAGATATACTGGTACGGACGAACAGAGGAAGTTGGCGACTTTTTCTTTTTCTTCCCTTCACATCAGCGCTCACAGCATTTGTCGACTGCACGAGAAACTTTCATCAGACGGTAAAGCAAACTGCACGTTCCAGAACACCCACTAAGCCCACAACGCACACGACACACATAAAAAAAAAACGAACACGAAATGATGACGACTCCCCTTGTTCGGCGCGGGCATGCCCAAGCCAAGCGATAGCAGCATATTTACACACACACACATAGCTGCTGGCCCACACCACTACTATCCGTAGCACAACACACTCACAAGGCCTAACACGAGCAACAACAACGTATCCATGCTTCCGGTATAGGAGCTTTCAACACAAGCGCAGCGCCTGGAGGCCATGCGCTTAACATTCCTAGTGGCAATGACAGCAGCATTCCTATCTGTAGACCTCTTGTCGGAATATTGCCGACGGCCCAAGGATCTCCTCGTAAGAACAACGCACGCCGAATGCTGCGACCAATCGAGTGGACCTTGGAAAATGCGAAAAGTTGCCCACAAAGGCTCACCTCCCTCCTCCCTTTGGTGCTTGCTCGACTGGTCTCGGCCACGCTCCTTGGACTTCCTCGCCACCCACACCAAGAGACAAGACCAGCCTTCTGCTGGTGCACAATCAACAACAAGCCTTCTCTCACAACGCACCCCCCTCATTACGGGACCTTTTGCTCACAAACAAGTGAGCGTGGTTCCATTTATTCTGGGCGTCAGTCTACACGCCTTTCGGCGCATTTTCCGGACGCATCAGCAGGGGGTCACACATACGACGCTTTCCTTTCCTTTATCGGTGCTTACACCAATTTAACAAGGTCACCCAGCATTTCATTACAAGCAGGGCTGGGTGAATCGATTTACCATTGCGCCTCTCGGTGGTAGTTCCTCCGGGGCATGGAAAGTCAAAAACAACAAAAAAAATACCATGGTAAAAATGGTCAAAACGGAAATAACCACGGGATGACCGTGCAGGCCGAGGCCCAAAAGAGCAGGGTCAGAGGCGCGCCGAGCTTGGCGTAGTCCTGGAACTTGTAACCCCCTGGCTGCCACACAAGCGTGTTTGTCGGCGTACCGATGGGCGTGAGGAAGGAGCACGACGCGGCGACGAGGACCGTCATGGCGAACGGCTTGTAGTCTGCCTGTCGACGGAGAAAAAGAAAAGACGGGGGGCACGGAAGAAGAGTCAGAAAGCAGCAAAAATTAACACCAACAAGCCACGAACTTCTTCCTTCAGTTGGTTTGGGTGGGATGTTTCAAGACTCTGTGTGGTAGATAAGTTGATGGTTGGTACGAAACTACCGTGATTTGGACCCTCGGATTGATTGTTGTTGTCTTGTTGCTGCAGTTCTCACATAAGCAAATATATATCTGAACCTAAGCGCATCAATTACGTCCGCACGTCTCGGTCATGAACTACCGGGTTGCTGGCGCGTGAGAGACTGAAAAATCTCTTCTCCGAAACAATCCTTGCTTCAACACGTGTCGACACCGCAGGAGACAAGGTGGGACAACAAAAAAAAAAACTCCTGTGCAGACCTTCCTACAATGTGACCCCGCCTCATATTGTACGTCAGAAACGTACACCGAACGGAATCCTAGACTGGGTCCAGATAAAAGGGGACGAACACATGCTACACACCATGACAGACCCTCACCTCCAGCTCTCGCGCCATGCTCAGCGCGATCGGGATGTTCAGAGCCGCCGCGGAGTTGTTTGAGATCAGCTCCGTGCAGAGCTGTTTAGAAAAAACAGGGACAACGCGGGTGCACAACGCGAGAGGGTATGTGTTGGACGCGGTGAGACACCATGTTTTTTTGGAAGACTACTCTGACAAGCATGTTTCTCTTACCGCCTCTAGTCCATGGTGCAGCGCTCCGGGTTTGATAGTTTTGGGGTGTGTTCGTAGTGTCGGCCAGGATTGATCGGAACCTGATCAAAGGAGGTGATCGTAGTCGAACCAGCTGAGGCCTCGCGCCCTGTCGATGTCGGTGTGTCGCTGAAGAGCTCAAGAAGCCCTCTGACGTAGCTATAGAAGTGCTTCAGTTGGGTACCACAAACGACAACACACCGACATCGACAGGACGCGAGGCCTCAGCTAGTTCGACTACGATCACCTCCTTTGATCAGGTTCCGATCAATCCTGGCCGACACTACGAACACACCCCAAAACTATCAAAACCCGGAGCGCTGCACCATGGACTAGATAGACCGCGGTGTGTCCCTACGGGTTGGGTCCCTCCTCCGGACACACTCTCACCATGGTGAGCAAGAACAGCGCGTACAAGCTCGCCGGGGGACTCATCCCGGACTCCCGCACAGCCTTCCCGGCCATGGCCGCGAGGCCGCTATTGGCGATGGCCTTGCTGAACCCCAGCGCAGACCCGATGAGCAGGAGAAGGCCCCAGTTGACGTGCCCGACCGCCTGGTTGGCGTCGACCCACCCCCCGAGGAGGAGCACGGCGCTCGCGGCAAACACCGCACGGATCTGGGCGAGGAGACAAAATACAGCGTTAGGGTTTGCGAACATCGATGTTGCCTCGTTTTGCAAACACCGCACGGGGTCTAGGCGAAAAGAGAGACAGCGTTAGGGTGTGCGGACATCGATACAACACGGTAAAACACGGCACGTACATCTGGGGAACAGCGTTAGGGTGTGGAAGCATCGATATTGCCTCGTTTCAGCACACAGCAAACACCACATGGGTCTGGTCGACAAAAAAAATACAGCTTTATGGTGTGCAAAGGTTGATATTGCCTCGCTCCAGAACACACCGCATTGTGCCGTCCAAGCGTACCACAAAAAAGCAGGCCACATGGGAGGGCGCTCAAAACACGCGACAACGGACCCCCAAGAAGCACTCATTGTCGTGCTCACCATGTCAACGCCTCCCAGCAGCACCCACAACAGCATCAGCGTGAAAATCACAAGGGGGAAGTAGTGAAACCACCCCGTCGGCTCCGGCACCCTACCGATCGGCCTATTCCGCAGGAACTCCCCACCCGCCGACGTCGAAGAAAAACGCCTCGAAAATTGTTCCGTGGCAAGAACGACTACCACATCCCCCGCTTCGAACGCCTCCCCTCTTCGCCGCCCCCACTGCCGCCGTCGTTGACTCTTCGCATCGAGACCCGCCCCCTTCGTAGGCTGTTGTTGGCAAGGCGTTGCCACCGGTCCTGAGATCTCCGGTTCCGACAGTCTCGCCGGGCTCTCATCTCCGACGGACGGCGACAGTGCGGTCGAACCCGGGCTGCTCCTGTCGCCGCGAACCGTCGGCGAATCACCGGGGCCCCCGATGAAAAACGCCTCCGCCCCAGCGAAGCTCTGCGGACTCCCACAAGCACCCGAGGTCTCGAACAGCCCGTCGCCGCTAGTCTGTCCAGGCTGTTCGGCGCCGAGGCAGGTTGTTTCGCCGCTGTCACCGGTGTCGACGGCGTCGTGGCGGCCGCCGTTGCCTCCTCGGTCGCATTCTCCGGCTGCGCTCCTCCCCAGGAGATCGACCCCTCCCCCCGTGCTCCCCTTCAAGCGAAACGCGACGACGCTGCAACCGTACCGGGCAGAGAAGAACCCCCCGTCGCTCCGCGCGGTCCGCCCCAAGAAGCGGCTCGTGCGCGACAGCACCAGCTCGAAGAACGCCGAACCCGTCCGCGGAGGCGGCCTCAGCGTGCTGAGCCCCAGCACCCCCAGCCCGGGCTCGCGCGCACTGAACCACGAGCCCTGGGCGTCGACCATGGCGCTCCGTCCGCAGCTGAGCACGAGCACGTCTCCGGCACGCACGCACGCGTCGGGAGCCACGTCGTGCAGATCGTGGGTAGTGGTAGCCCCGTCAACGGCGGCGAAAGCTCCAACGCTTTGCGGTGGCGCGGTTCCAGGCCCCCCGACCGCGGCTCCAGCTGTCCGCAACGTGGCCATCTCGATGCACGGGGCCCCCGCATCACTACCCTGGGTCTGCACGGCCCCGTCCTCGTTCTCGAGGGGCTGGTATGCCGTCGCTCGCCGCCTAAGGGCGAACGGCTTGCGGCCGCCACCCGCGTGCCTCGACGAGGAAGCAGCGATTCGTCCCGCCCAGCCCGGTTGCTCCTCGCCGCCCGCCTCGGCACCGCTTCCAACGCCACTACCGCTGCCGAACACGCCCTTCTTCGATAACCCGGTGGTGGCCGGTGAGAGGGGTTTGGCTTCCACCGCCTCCCCCGGTTGGGGTAGGCGTCGGCGTACCTTCACGAGGGTGTCCATCGGTAGCCCGAGGCTGGCCAGCACCAACGAGAACGGCTGGTCGACCAGCTTGAAGTCTTCCTTGATTTCCACCTGCTCACGTTTGTGTTGTTGTTTTTGGCGATGTGGATGTGGTAGGCGGGGGGTGAAATTTTTTCGGACGACGACGAAGACGGCCGCAGTGCTCGTGGCATGACATGTAAATATGGTGTTGGGGCATTCATTTTCACCCAAGCGGGGTGCTCGAAGAGAGGCAACCTCCGCCGGCACGTCCATCACAGGGCATATACCCAGGCTCGAGGAGCACGTCGTGCCGCACTACACACAACCCCGACCCCCCAAGCAGATCGACCCCTACAGCGTATACTAAGACGGTGGTAACGGCAACAATCGGCTCGACGCGAGAACACTAACGCAACGCACCTCCGTCAGCAGATCTCCCGAACGGTCTTGCGCCGGGACCGCAACAAAGCCTCCGCCATCCGCCGACGGCGGCGCGGCCGCCAACAACCGGGGCGCGGCGACCAAGAGATAAAAAATCCCGGCGATGGCAAGCGGCAGGCCGACAAAGCCCGGCTCGAAGAGCCGGAACGGACCTACGCTCTCGTCTTCCTTGGACGCCTCATAGAGCAGCCCCTGTATCACCAGGTTAGTCCCGCCTCCCACGGTGGTGAGAATCCCCCCGAAGGCGCAAGCGAAGGCCAGCGGCATGAGCAGCACCGGGGGGCTGAAGCCCCTCGCGCGCGCCCAGTCCTCGGTCACCGGGATCAGCAGCGCGAGGATGGGCGTGTTGTTGCAGAACGCCGACATGGAAACGCCGCACAGCAGCAGCCTGCAGAATCCGGACGAGAAGGTGGTGGTCAGGCCCAGGATGTTCTTGGCGGCTTTGTCGGCGACCTTCGAGCTCTCTATCGAGGCCACCACGACGAACAGGGCGCCGATGGCGAGCACCCCCGGGTTGTTGAACCCCGACAGCGCTTCCGCGGTGGAGACGATCCCCGCGTTCCACACCACCAGCAGGGACAGAAACACCTGAAGTTTTTGTGGGCGAAGTTTGGCATTTTTTTCGGCGGGGTGGGGGGTGAGTTTCATATGGCGAAAATGGCGAAACTGTGTAACGTACGATCTCGAAGATAACATTCAAGTTCTTGTTGCTGTTGCTGTTGTGTGGGAGAGGTTTATGCCCCGAAGCGGACGGAGCAAGGGTATCGCTTCGTGATGAGGCAGTACCCTTCGCAGGGTTTTCGTATTATGTAAACATGTTGGATAAAGGATACAATCGGGGAAGTTGGGCTAGGGTTAGGGTTAGGGAATACGGTCTGCGTACCCCCTCCCCGTTCTAATTCCTCATTAACTTATTAATCGCGCGAAGGCGGTCCTGATGAAGGCACTCGCGCTCTGCATAAGAGCCTCGTTGTCTGCATGAATAAGATCGGCGTCCCACGTATGTGTCTTGTATTACGTGGGGTTTTCCGTCCGATCTATTCTGGGCGCGTGCACCTTTCGGTACATTGGTGACGCACTAAGTAGCCGAGGCCACGCAGGAGGAAGGTGAACGCAGAAGGTTTTTCCCCGCCACCTTTCCTCCTGTGGTCTTTGCGTTCAACTTAACATCAACGGTGTAGAGGGGTTCACTCTCTGTTTGTGTGTGTTGCTGAACCCGCACCTCAGTGCGTTTGCTACCTTGTTAATCGCGAAACTAGACTTCCACGTCCCGGAGAGATTCATTCGAACCCTGACCCTAGATCCAGAAGGTTTTGCGAGGTTGCCAACAGAACCACCCGCAGCGACCGTACAGGACTATTTTGGTGACGGATTGATGGGTGTGACCGCCGTACGCATACGTTGGCGACGATTGGGTTGATGGGTGTGACCTTAGTTCCTCCGCACCCGCCATGAGAACTAAACACGGAACACGTTATGGCGCGAAAGTGTACCCGGTACTGGTCCCATGACCTGCCCGAGAAAGCATCAAAGTGCCAGGATATATTGATGAGCACGATCTGCTGTCGACGGTAAGGTCTGCTGCTGCTGCTGCTTCTCCTGACTGTACAAGAACAGAGCAACTGCTGTAATACAGCAGTGTACAGAATACAGAACCACATCATTGTACAGCAGTTACAGCGACTCTTTCGCCAACAACCAACAGCAGTGTGTAGCTCACCACCACTTCAGGGGTGTACCACCCACGGCACAAGGCGAAGAACAGGGCGACAAGGACAACCCCCACGAAGGCCGCCTCGCCAGCGCCACCAGTGTCCACCTGCTCGTCTCCCGGAGTATCACCCATGATGATGTCGTCCCACGCAGCACGACAGAGTTGTCCTCACCTCTTGCTCTCTCTTTCGTCACGGGTCCACGCTGGGACCTATAGCTACAGCCACAACGTCCACGAGGTAAACAACCAAGGCGACCGCATTGTGATCTGCGCAAGCAAACACTGCGTAGCAGTTAGTTGCGTAGTACGCCGCTGCTGCTACTGCTGCTGCACCCACCATTGCATCAGCGCAGCACTTCGTATTTCTCATCGCGGAGCCCCGTACCCCCCCCCATTTTGCCCAACCTCGGTACTATCCGCGGGGCCTCGTCTCGGCTTCGCCTGGCACTGCCGCTGTGGAGACAGAGAGGAGCGGTAGCGTTTGGTTGTGCGGACTCTTTCCATGGCTACCTCAGCGCTGCAGGAGCGCAGGAAGCGCCTGGTGAACAGGGTTGGCCGACACCTGCCGTGCAACACCATCCAGGTGGTGTCTGACTTCGCCAAGGTGGCCACAAAGGTACGAACAGCGGAGAAGGAGTTTTACGCAAACGCCGCTTGCATTCCGCTGCTGCAACCCCGAGCTGACTCTTTCCCTCTCTCAATGCATCGGCATGATTGTAACTTGCTAGACGCTTATTTCCCTTGCTTAACATCCTTTGGGGGCCGCGAGTTTGCGCTTGCAGCATGAGAACTGCTGTGTGGTAGTAGTGCTCGTGAATAGGCCGATCTTGTTTTGAACACCACGACCGGCCGACCCATGTGCACGACAATGCAAGAAGTACAGCAGCAGACAAGAGCAGTAGAGATCACACGCTACTGCAAACATCCGTCCTGCTGTAGCCGCTGTTGGTTGTGGTAACGTAGGCAAAACTTATTATTTTACGCCCTCATGCTCGATCATGCATGGAGCATCGGTACCGGCGACGGGAATGTCGTCGTGGTATCCCTCATATCCTCAAGAGACAACTCTGAGTTCCAGTCTTGTAGAGGAACAGGGATTGTCAGAACCCCTACTTGTATCTATGCCTATGTATTTATTTACACAAGAAGCGCAAGGCGGTTGGTTCCCTGCTGCAACAACCCAAACGGGCAGCCAGAGAAAGAGCAGAAGAGAGTGGGCGCGTTGTTTCTGCACAGGCATTGCCTTGGTTTCGCGCCCAACAATGGCACTCAAGCGCCGCACAATTATTGCTGTAGGCTGCCATCGACAACCGACCGGAGAAAATTCATTCCGAAGATAACACCGCCGACGAAAAAAAACTAAATCACGTGGCCTTCGGTGCTCGCGAGAAAGCGTCGCATGTATCTACTTGTTCCGGTGCTGTTCTTAAAAGGGACCTGTGAAAACTTCCTGTGTGCCTGTTGCAAGTTAGAGTAGTCGTTACTCGTACAGTATGATTAAGGTGTGGGCATTACTACGGAATACCTGAGAATCGAAACATTAACATTCTGTGTGGTGAGCGTCAACCGCCGTGACCTGTTTGACCAATGAAAATATAGGGCATCCACTATGGATTGACGCGGAATTTTGACCTTTGAGGATTGACGCCAACATCAAGTACCGGTTGAGGGTTTTGACGGGAAAAAATTCGCACCGCGTGTGCCCGTTGGCACGTGGGAGGAAAAAAAAAATGGTGGAGTAGAGTTGACGCGTTAACGCCGGTCGTGTTCACGACCCCGGGTTGGTTCGGGCTGCCACCCAGGGTCGACATGCTGAAGCGAAGACTCACACTCCCAGGCTCCCAGGAGACTAGGTGTACCCCTCCGCCTCATCCCGCCGACCTTCTCTCTTTCGCCGCGGCGACTTCCCAGGCGTCAAACTGCCGTTGCTGATTGAGGCAGCTGCTCGCTGTACTGCTGTGTACCGATGTCACTGCGGCAGCAGAGCACCGAACCCCGTGAGGGGGCGGGCGAAATGCACCTACTGACTGGCCAAGTCCGTGTACCCTCCCTTAATCCTCTATATGTGCTCCCTCCGAGGGCGGGACTCCCCCGAGTACTGCCTATGCCCCTTTTTGCTGCTGAAAGCGCGTGCGCAATCGCGATGGCTCATCTACCGAACGCGCGCGCCGAACACGCGAGTCCGGCCACTGGGCCGCCGTGAGAACTGCCGAGACGTGTGTGTGCAGGACCGCTAGGAGCAATCAGTAGGCATGGCCAATGTGTTCGCTGCTGACCGCGCTCCTTTCGTGATTTGGTGATGGTAACAGAGCACAGAGCAAGCGTGTGTGAGCCACAGTCTGGCGATATTTGAAGTGTCAATCTTTTCGCGTCGGTTTAAGTTTTGACGCTTTTTCACAAAAATTTCGCCGTCAGATTTTGCCTCCAAAAAAGCGGCGTAACCTCGTCACGTCAAAACTTCCTGAAATGTCAATATTTCACGTCATTTCAACAACACGTGGATTCCCTCTAATGCACGTGACAGTCTCGACGAGACGAAAACGCGATGTGTGTGCAGAAGCATGGGGCAGATTGTCGTGCTTTGCGTTGTTGTTGTCGTTATTTTGTGTTGCGCAAGAAGATATGCATGTATCGATAGGTTTTCGAAGGTGTTCAGCCTGGCTGCACCCAGACCCAACGGTTATGCTCGCTTATTCGGTTAGACTGTGCGGGACTCCCCAAACAACGTGCCTGTTGGGTCCCTCTCAAACTCCCAGGCTCAAGAATATCGTACCCGCACCGTACCTACCCAACACCGTTCACCGCGTGCAACCCCTCCCCGCCCCTGAACTACTAGGAAGGTGGTGGCGCACCCTACCTGTCCAAAACGCTTGGAATGGAGGTTCGTTAACCTTGTTCCACGCCGTCTCCGTCCCTTATCTGCTTCCTTGATTTGAAGGTGGTGGAAAACATCCTCTCCAACCCCGCCGACGTTAAGTTCAGGGAGCTCCGCGCCAACAACAAGACCATCCAGCGGGCGGTGCTCAGCTGCCACGGCGGCCGAGAGTTCCTGTCCCTGTTGGGCTTCGAAAAGTAAGGTTCCCCCCCGGGAGAGGGGGCCGACGGAGGGGAATGCTACGTAGTTCGGCACGTACTCTCATGCGATACCACATCGTAGGCATGAAGGACGGTGCTCTGTTTCAAAACGGACCCTAGGTCAACGACCAATTTGTTCTTCGTTCACATCGCAGTGTTGAGATCATTGAGAAACTCTTCTGTGTCTTTTTCAATCAATGATTTCTTCTCGACGAAGAAACTCGTGGAATCCTCAAGCGAAAGACAGTGCGTACCCCCCCCCCCCCCCCCCCCCCCCCCCCGCCCCCCGGAACCCAAAAAAAGGGGAGGGGGGGGACCTCCCGGGGGAACCCCCCGGGGACCCCCCGACGCAAGCGAAAGGAAGGGCCGCGGAACGCGCCAAGGCCGGGGAACAAACGGAAGGGGCGGGCGGGGGGCCAACAAGGCCGGAACCAGGGGGGAAAGGGAGGGAGGCCTTCCGGGGCCCCCCACCGCGGCCAAGTGGGCGGAGAAAAAGCCCCCCCAAAAAAAAAAAAAGGGGGGGGGAACCGGGC